TGTCCGTCCGTCCGTCCGCTCGTTTTGCGACGCTACTAGTTCTTTATCTTAAGAGCTATTGTTCTACTTTTTCGCTATTTGGTTCGTTATGGTGTCGAGTCTTGTACCAAGGAAGGAATTTTTTCTGTACCGCTTACAAAAAAAATTATTGTAAAAAAAACAAAAAACCGTTTTTTACATGTTCCATAATTTTACACTTTTGCCGTTTATTAACGATCCTAGAGATCGTTTATAATTTTCCATTGCTATCTGTCGTCTGCCTGTTGGTCTGTCCGTCTGTTCCTTTGTCTGTCTGTCCATCTATCTGTCCGTGTGAACGATAACTTTGTTTAGAAATGTTCGATCGCTTTTACATCTCCGTTAGTTATGAACTGAATTGCATGAAATTCAATATGGGCATAGCTTTAGCCATATAATACGCAATGCCAAAAGTTGAATCGAATTCACAGTGCCCTTTTCGCATCTCGACCATTTATAAACCGAATTGCAAACTTTTTTACTTATAAAAGTATTTGAATGAAATTTGATACATAGGCACTTGTAATAAAGGAAAATCAAACGCCAATTTCAAAATTTGGTTTTGCGCATGCGCAGTGCCAACTTTTTTATTTATGGAAGAATTTAAATGAAATGTGATACATAGGCACTTGGAATAAAGGATCATCGAGCGCCAGTCTCAAAATTTTCTTTTGCGCATGCGCAGTGCCAACTTTTTTATCTATGGCACCATTTAAGTGAAATTTGATACTTAGGCGCTTGGAACAAAGGAAAATCTAACATTAGTTTTAAAATTTAGGTTTGCGCATGCGCAATTCCAACTTTCTTATTTAGAAAAGCATTGAAATGAAATTCTTCTCATAAACTGAAATTGAAGTAACACATCAAAAATGGATTGCCCATGTGCAACGCTATCTTTCATATCTGTGGCCGGATTTTTACGATTTTATCAGAAGTTGCATCTTATAAATGGGAAATGAATGCAAGTGGAAATGCGCTTTATGTAAATCGTTTACGATTACTTTTTAACTTGTTCAGTTTTGTGTTGTTAATTTTTTATATAATATGTGAATAAAGGTCATAACCAACGCAATCTTATGATCAAAATAACTTTGCACGATAAAAATTTTCCTCCAAATCAGAAAAAAGGCAATTACTTTAATTTGAAAAAACGTAGCCCTTTACACTTGAAGCAATTATTATTATTATTATTCAGAAAAGATCCGTGTCGCAAATCACTCTAGTCAGAAGATCAACAGCACTATAGATGAATTAAACAACACGTGTATTTAATTAATCATTGGTACTTAAGAGGTTCGGTACCTAACAAAGTGTAAATTTTATTAGTGGAAATAAGTTGGGAAATAAGGATTTTATAGAGGCGTTCAATTTTTGGGAACCTCTAATAGTTTTCTATCACATGGAAATGTTTCAATGGGGTCATCCCGCCTTCATTTTTTATTTCTGATCCACAAAGTACATTAAAAATTTATTTGCGAGTAAAATAAACCCAAAATAAATTATTTAAAAGCTGTGTTTTTAGGCCGAATTTGAATCGCTTCAGACTAAATACGTCACAAACCTACAACCAATCACGTAGAAGTGAGCTGGCAACCTTGCACGAGGGTCTGACGTTTGTCACATTTGACGTTTTGAGAGGGATGTTTAACTGCATCTAGCCACAGCCGTCTATAATTACAAGCCATGCTGAGAAGTTTGGCAACGTTGTTCGAAAGTCAATCGGTGGGCCGATTTAGTTTTAATGGCGTCTTGTTGCTCTTTAAAAATGGCATTTTCCTCTCTCCTGTGTTTCGCCTTGGCGGTTTTAATATAGAAGAAAGATACTTAGGCATCAGCTTACAATTGTGCATAATAATACATATTATTTATTTACAAAAATGGATAATAACATTTTTATTTGACTTTAAAATTCGGAATGCTGTAAATTGGTAACTGCATCATAATGTGTTTTCCATCGAGATCTCCAAAATTGGTGAACTTCTGTCGAAACAGGTCGAGGTGAAGCACACGCTTGAGCACTTAATTTCGGTAAAACGACAGTAAATCGCTGCGCATCAGCAAGATTTTATCAACGACCAGGTGTGATTCGAAATGGCAGACTTTAAGCCAGCCGCTACTCCAGTGGGTGTAGGTACGAAGCTTTTAAAGAGGGGAGCCCTGTAGACTTAAAATTCCCGTACCATGAACTCTTGGGAATAAGTTGAAAGGTTCCTTCAGAAAATCGATTTGACATGTCCGTGCTAGAATACCTGAAATACAAACTACCTAGTTGTGTTTTTTCACGATAAACACTTACCGTACTTACGTACCACGCAGTGTGTACGTCATATTTGAGCTTGTACAGGTACTTTTAACAAATAAAAGTGCTTGTAAAGGGTCCAGTAAGGAGTAGTCTGCTTTAGAGGTTATGACAACAAATCGATATATTTCGTTTAGCAACTTACCTGAATAATAACTTCTGTTCATTCCGTACGGAGTAACACAAATTGTCGCAATCTCGCTCTTTTAAAACAGGTAATTTGGAATATTACACCCAAAACACATATAAAATACACCCCAAATCTGTCAAGTTGAATTAGGAAATCGGCCTACCATGCAGTGTTGCCATAATTCTCAGCACGGCTTGTAATTATAGACGGCTGTGATCTAGCACGAAAGTGACAAGTGCCTGTGACAGATGAAGCAAGTTATAAATGCCATTCTCCTGAAATATTGCCAAGTCGTTATGTCATCTGAATGGTTCTAGGAGCTGATTGGTCGGGCTTATTACGTCACAGAGCCCGCCACAATCATATCGTGTTGAATAAACCTTTAAAACCGCACATGTTCATTATTTTTTTGCTAATCAGCCTCTATTTTTAAATAAACTTCTACTGTCCAAAAAAATGTTTTATGGTTTCAGGTACACGCTTATTAAATTAGAACTGCGGAATTCAACTATACTGTAAACCCCCATTGTAACGAACTCATTAATTTAAAAAAAAGTCTGCAACCCGAAATACAATTTGTTAAAACATAAAAAGGTTGTAATGATTGATTTGTGCGCGCAAAGTACTTGTTAATTTTTAATAAAAATTACTATAGGTATTTCAAGCGTAGGTAGTCACTGTGTTAGCTGGGATTATAATATGGTTTCACGGTTCAAACTCAAATTTGTATTGCAGGTGCAGGCGTCTTTTTAATGGCAAGCATGAGAGCAAGGCGCTACCACACATTGCTTTACATTTTTGATAAGACTAAACAATACTTTTCCTAGTTTTCCATATGAACACAGAACTTTTCTTACAGTTGGACTTAAGAGGGTTACAGACGATATTTTCTGGAACACTCTCAAAATACCTCGAGCTCCAACAATGAAAATCACATCTTCCTTTCAGTTTATCTTATTGAAATTCTTTTCTATGAGTAGCAAAAAGCAAGCCACTGTATATTTAACCTAGTACCACAGATTTAAATATTAAATCTGTGCTAGTACCTTTACTTTCCTTGACAGTTTAATTTCATTTTACTGTGCACATTATTTAAAAAAAAGTGTTATGATCGTCATTAGTTTGTATCATTTTTCATCAATGCAACAATGACCGAGATTAGTGAAAACTTGAGAGAGCAATCAGTTTAATAGATGAATTAGTAGGTATCGTTAAAATTTCAGGCTACATTTAAACTTCTATTCCGACTTCAATTTCATTCCTCTCAAACCGAAGGCATCTCGCTTTCGTTTGGTGAACCAACAAAATGAAATACCATCATTAAATTTTAAACTCCCATTAACCTCTAATTTCAGATAATCACTTTAGATGTTAAACATGTAATGGCTTTTACGCAATATTCTTAGCGCTCATTATTTCAGAAATGACGCCTGGCAACTTTAAATGAAATACCGA